AATATGTATATCCTATGTATATTGATATACATATACGCAAAAAATATTTGTCGCCTATTATTCTTGGGAGAAGCTAAAAATATACATTTTTGGTCTCGCAATAAGTAATTAAAACACTTTATTTCACTCATTCACCTTTTATAATACTGGTTGTCTATGATGACCCGAAAGGTCATCTTATGTTTTAGAACCTAATTCTGTGCTTTTTAGCCTTAAATACCTTATTTTAGCATTCCTCGATTTGTGTGCGCAGTCTGGGTATTTTTTCGGAAAGCTTTTATGTGAAAAACGGAGAAAATATAAAAAAATTACCTTAAAATCCATTTGAGTTGACTTCGGTCAACGTTTTGAGAAAACAGATCCAGATTTGTGTTTTGACGGTCCCGGTGGGCCCGTATAGTGATTTGGTATTTGGTCGTATTCCCGGAATCGAATTTGGAAGTCCCTAACCTAAGTTATCGCACTTTGTTAGAATTTGAAAGTTAAAGGCTTAATGACTTTGAAATATTTGACTTTTTGTATATCAGATCTGTATTTTGGTTCCGGAACCCGGTATAGGTCCAATACTATATTTATGACTTGTATGTCAAATTTGATGAGAAACGGAGTTGGTTTGACGTGATTCGGACGTCCGGTTATTAATATAGCAATTATAAAGTTTCTTGAAAATTTAATTTGATTTTGGTGTCCGATTCATAGTTTTAGGTATTATTTTTGACGATTTGATCGCGCGAGCAAGTTCGTATAATATTTCTAGTCTTGTGTGCATGTTTGGTTTGGAGCCCTGAGGGCTCGGGTGAGTTTCGGATAGGCTACGGAGTGGTTTGGACTTAGAAAACTCAGCTGGTTCTGCAATTTCTGGTAACTGGTGTCTGATCTCGCAATTGAGAGATCAGTGTTCGCATTTGCGAACATTACCCAATCCTGATAGGCACGCATTTGCGAAGAGTACCTGGGTCAGCATGAGTTCGCATTTGCGATCAAGAGGTCTCAATTGCGGGGGGGACAGAGTTCGCATTTGCGAAGTGGGGCTGGGGTAGGCTTGGTGGCATTTGCGATCAATTTGGTCGCAAATGTGGAAGATCAATGTTCGCAATTGCGAACAAGTCATCGCAATTTTGATGAAAAAAGAGATGGGAGGACTTCGCTTTTGCAACTGTTTCTTCGCATTTGCGGGGCTCGCATTTGCGAACCCCAGGTCGCAAATGCGGCATCTGCAACTGATCAAAATGGGACTTAGACGGGATTTTGGTTTATTCTCTCAAATTTTCAAAACAAGAAACCCTAAAGGCGATTTTTCAAAGAACCTTTCTTCCCCAAATCATTGGTAAGTGATTCTGAACTGGTTTCTTTCAATCTTTCACTACATTTTCTAAGATTTCAACCAAAAATCTTTTATTTTCATGGTGGAAATTGGGGGTTTTGGGTAGAATTAGGGATTTTTGTAAAATGGGGATTTAGACCTCAAATTGAGGTCGAATTCCAAAATAAATTACATAACTGGGCTCGTGAGTGAATGGGTCTTCATATTTTATGATTTTTACCCGATTCTGAGACGTGGGCCCAGGGAGGCTTTTGGGGGCAATTTTCTAATTTCTTGCTTTAGCTTTGATTTCATTAATTAGATTAGTTTCTTATAGTTGTATTTATGGTATGTAATTGATTATGGCTAGATTTGGGCCATTCGGAGTCGGATATTCGTGAAAAATGCATTGTTGTAAGTAGTTTTGCCTAACCTTGTGTGGAAGAAAATCCCCTTAGGATTTGGTATTGTTGTGCTATGTGAGCGCCGTGTACGTGAGGTGACGAGTACGTACACGGGCTATTTGTTGTAAAACCCGATTTATTTTACTGAGTAGCAACTTATTTTTCCTTTAATTTGAGTTATACCGTTTAAATAAGTATTAGTCTATTTTCATTCTTAATTGAGCTATTCCAATTTGTATAGTTATCCTGTTTAGTCTAATATCGCATGTCTACGTGCTTTAACTGTTTATTTGAACTCTGTGAAGCATGCCTAGTTGATTTCCTGTTTTTCTTTGTTCTTTATCAGTATAACTGTAGAAATCTTGCTATTAACTGTTGTATTTATCGGTTTGAGCCGTGTGTTTACTTTTGAGACTACGAGGCAGTTTCTCGGGAGTTCTCCCTGCATATTTACTTTTGAGACTACGAGGCGGTACCTTGGGAGTTCTCCCTGTATATTTATTTTGGGACTACGAGACGGTATCTCGGGAGATCCCCTATTATTTATCCATGTGTTATACTGCTATTTTTGCTGTGTTTTTCTTTTGTTAAATTCTAGTCTCTTAATATAATGTTATATTCCCCTGCTTTATTTATTATATACCAGTGGGCCAGACCTGACCTCGTCACTACTCGACCGAGGTTAGGCTTGGCACTTACTGGGTAACGTTGTGGTGCACTCATGCTACTCTTCTGCACATATTTTGTATGCAGATCCAGGTACTTTTTATCAGCCCTGCTATTAACTGAGAGTGTTTGATGTTGTACGGAGACTTCAAGGTACATCTGTCGCGTTCGCAGACCTCGGAGTCTCCTTCTATTCTCCCCTATGTCAATTACCTTCTATACATCTTTTATTAGACTCTAGTGTATAGAGATACTAGTTTTCTCCTGTAGCTTGTAACTTACGATGTTCCGGGTTTTGGAAATATTGTGTATTTATAGAGTCTTGGTTATTGTACATGCCGAGCGGCATTGTTACTAGTTATTCAGTTATCCACTGCTATTAGTTGCCAAGTTTTACTTTCGTTTTGTTATTTCCGCATTTTGTTAGGGTTACCTAGACGTAAAAACTAGGTGCCGTCATGACATTTTACGTGAGGAAAAATTTGGATCGTGACATTGCCAATATTGCGTCGTAGGCAATTGCGCCCAAGAAATTAATCTGGTCAAGAGAAGTAGTGACGCATTAGTTTCAGTGCTAACCTGATTATAATGTGTCAATCTAAGGTTTAAGTATAATTCGATGTTATCGAGGCTAAAATGTTGTGGAAGCTCTCTTACTTATAATGATTTATTTTGGTTAATGTGTATTAATATACCAGTGAAATTCTCTTTTCTTTTTCATTTCATTGATAATTCTTAATTTGATATATTTATCCTCTTGAATCTACTCACTGTCTTCTGTCCGATTTTTGGATCCGTTCGAGCCTCTTTGAAATTACATCCCTGCCTCTCGTCTAACTCGAGTTTCTCCGCTCCTTTAACAGTTAAAGTAGCTCGCTTCAATAAGTACAATTATATCCCTAGGAGTATATTACGAACGGAAGTTCTCTTGCTAGTGGAAGTAAGAGTAACAAGATTAGGACCACATATAAAAATTAAATACAATAGGGAGTTCGAAAAAAATTAGATTCCACAATGCTTCTAGATTAAAGGGAAGCACTAGACTCACTATACACGAAACTAACTTTTCCATTTGTTTCGGATTTGACATTCATTCCCCCCTCTTCTTGTATATTGGTAATCAAAGGCACTTTAAACTACGGGAATCACTTCTTCCGATTGGTCTAACCGCCTAAGCTTCTCTTATTCGTTTCCATCAGAATTGCTTTCTTCCTTTCCAAAGTTTCACTTTACCTATTTGTTACAATTCACTGTATTTAAGGTAATTTTAATTTATTTTTCTCAATCACTTGATTCTTTTTCTAATATACGACTAAATCAGCTTGTGCGTAATTTTACTAATTTATTGAGTACATGCAAATTCGCACCAATAAAGATTATACGGTATTTAGTAACTTTGTCTACTAAAATTCAAACATATAAACATATATATGGAAAAAAATTACGTTAATTCTTTTTGTCTCTAATGAAATTTAAACTTTAATCTCTCATGGTTCATTAAATTTCCATCGACCACTAAGCCATACAATGGTGATTCTCCATTACTTGAGCTTATTCAGCTGAGAAGCTATCTAAGTTTTTGATCTTATAATTCTTTACCTATCTAAGTTTTTTATTCCAATTTTTCCACTAATTAAGGTCATCATACCAAGGTGGACGCTTTGTGCTTGGATTAAATGTGACATTTTAACAACTTAGGGTAAATTGATATCATTCACTCCCATGTGCCAATTCCTGCTGTATAGTAGACCTCCTAGCCACTTTTTATTTTTTATTTTTTTTATAGTCTTTAGGCCATTTTTAAGGAAATTTTATAATTGGAGGTGCTCTTTCATTATTATTATTAATAATTATTTTTTTATAATTTTTTTCATAATATATCAGAAACAACCTCTCTACCTCCTCATGATAGGTGTAAGACCGTATACATTCTCAAACGATGTCTTTATCCAACTCAAAAGTGTAATAATAACTTACGTATGATGTGAAGATTATTTAGAACCTTTTGAGGCAAATCTTACATGCAAAATACGAAAAAGATGTTAAGAGTACATAAGGAAGCAAGTCTTATATTCTACTAATGAATTTTAAAGGTGTGCAAGACTAGGTTCAAGCAGACAATAACAATATATTATTAGTGGACTAAACTGTTATATATCGTGTCAGAGTCACTCCGAATGTAACTTTGGACGATAGTGAGGCAAACCTCAACATTCAATTAATCTTAGGCAAATCCCACATATTATTAATTTTTTTTAGGCAAATCTCACTATTACGATGAGGCAACTCTCAGCGAAGATAGTGAATTCCCATGAGTGATGTATATAATAGTCTAGCCAAATATCCCACATCGCCAAAAGACGCACGAGATGCTGGACATATAAAAATGTAAGCCTCAAACTTTAGTGATCGATTTTAAAATTGTGCGAATCCAGGCCTAAATTGAATAATATATAATGGGTTGAACTTTTAAAAAAAAAAAAAAAAAAATGTCTGTCATAAGGTCCCACCAGGTTGAAATCACAACCTAACTCCCATTTCCCTACTTTCTTTTCCCCTCTATGAAATATATATATATATATATATATACACTATAAACAACCAGTAATCTAAACACTATGCCCAAACATTCTTTCATTTGTAATTTGTCTGAAGTATTTCACTTTTGGCATTTTTCCTCTCAGTTTTTGTAGCATTAGCAGTACATATTACATGACAGCAACATGGTACGTCCCCGACGGAAATTGGTAGTTCTCATTTTTCACATGGCTATTTTCATTTTTGCTCTTCTACCATTCGTCTGTTCATCTCAAAATCACATAGAAAAGATTATTTACCAACGCAGTTATAAACACATAATCCATGAGGTTATTCACATTTTCATCTCTTCTGATATTGTTCTCTAGTTTCCCATGCATTTATAATGCAGCAACTAATTATCTTATCTTAAATTTCAGTTAACTTCTGGATTGTCATATCAAATTATGCTACATGGATTTCTTCTCTGGGCTTCCATGGGTTTCTTGATGCCTATTGGGATTCTTGTAATAAGAATGTCAAATAGACAGGAATGTAGACGAAGGCTAAAGATTATTCTGTATATTCATGCTACTTTACAGGTAATTAATCCTTTGGACAATGACGGAGTCAGAAATTTATATAAGGGGATTCAGAAAAGTGTTAAAGTGTCACATTTAGCATTTGAGTTAAAGCTACTTTTGAACCCCGTTACGTTAAAGGGATTCAACTGTTTACATATAAATGTATATAACCAAAAAAACTTCGTTTTTATTTCGATTTACATAGTATAATTTTTCTTGAAGGAGATTTAATGATAGACGTCCACCCAACCACTTAATCTAAAAATTAACCTTCGTGCAGTCATGGAAAGGTATTCTTCTTTTCTTTGACATGACAATTAGTATTATCTCAGCAGTTACCTAATGTCATTATTACAATTTTGAATCTTGTTTATTAGATAGAAGAGTACCCCACTTTTCACCTCTAATGATACTGAAAAAGAGTAAGAGCTTAAGTGTGATTAATAGCACTGATGAACGCTTGGTGGGAAAGGAAAGGAAGAATAAATTATCTTATTTAAGTATTACAACTAGCTCTCTTTAGTTTATATTATCCAGAATTGAGCACAAGTCAAGTTAATTATGAGGTTAGGTATAACCGTTTATTTTATCATGTGATACTTGATACCTGACTAAGTTTCTTTAGAAAAGTGCATAAAATTTCATTTATATTATTTGGTTATTTGGCAGGTATTATCTCTTCTCCTTGTAACAGCAGCAGCAATCATGTCAATAAGAAACTTTGAGAACTCTTTCAAAAATAATCACCAAAGGATTGGCTTAGCTCTTTATGGTGCCATATGGCTGCAAACAGGCACTGGCTTTTTACGGCCTGACAGGTAAATGATGTACAACAATAACATACCCAGTATAGTCTCACAAGTGGGGTCTGGGGAGGGTACAATGTACGCAGACCTTACCTCTACCTTTAAGAAGGCAGAGAGGTTGTTTCTGGTAGACTCTCGGCTCAAGAAAGATAAATGGGAGGGGCTGACAGGTAATGATGTATAGAAGAATTAACCTAAATAGTCGTCGACCCAACCACTTACTCGAAAAATAGCCGAAGGATGTATACTATATATAATCCATATATAATATGTATATACCAGATAAGAAATGTGAACAGTGAATCCGGTAGGCCATTTGTGTAAAGATTATGTATACCATAATTTCTGCAGTTAAGTACTGTTTTTTTGTTCTTCTGTACAGGGGAAGCAAAGGAAGGAGTATATGGTTTTCAGTTCACTGGCTTCTTGGAATCACAGTTTCTATACTGGGAATCATCAACATATATACAGGTTTACAGGCCTATCACACAAAAACATTGATAAACACAGGTGTTTGGAACTTGGCTTTCACTGTTGAGATTGCTGTTATCATGTTCATCTATCTGCTGCAAGAAAAATGGCACTATGTGAAGCAATCAAGAGTAATTTTAAGCGATGAACCAATACGACCAACAGATCAGGAAACATCTTCAACAGATGAGAAAAAGGAATTGTCAGCCATGCCATCATCATCAGAGCCATGTTAACAAATCAGTTTGCCTTTTGCTAACAGTGAATTCTTTCCAACCTTGTTACAATTTTACAAGCAAATATAGAGCATCATATACAACCTATAATATGAGAGATCTTGTGTTCACCTTTCCGCCTTATATTTTTTGTTTAAAATTGTAACTAGCAAAAGGATAAGCCCTTTGCACTGGTAATATATGTGGAAAGCTAACTGATGATTATATCTCACTTAACAAAACTGGCTTCACTATCATGAGAGGTTCAATACATATCCAACATGCAATTCTTGCGGTGACACCTAAAATGAAAACAGACACTCTCAAGCAAGAGAAAAGTGTCCCCAGTGGATCACATTTTGCTAAGAATCACTTAACTGCTAAATGTAATACTGTAAATATGTGATGATAAGAAGTAAACAGTTAATCTACAACTTCAAATGACCATTCATCTCGAGAGTTTACAGGGACTTTTACAAACTTATATACTTTCACTATATTAGTGACATAAACAGTGTGAATCTTTATACAAAGTATTTAGACAAATCATGGAAATAGTTGCACATAACCGTCACTCAATTACTAAAATGACAAGGCGTGGAAGGAGGACAAATGCTCCAAATGTAGCAAAGAATACCAAGTTCTTGCATACTCTCGTGTAAAAGTAGTAGTAAACTCGGAAAAAAATATGAAATTAATTTATTTTTTTTTGGCAAATAACTTACTAAGAAAGAGAAGTAAACAAAAGGCAAAATACATAGTTCACCCCCTGAACCATGGACCAAATCCCCGTGACACTTTTTGCGGATAAAAATTACTTTACACACTCAACCTTTTTAAAGTGTGTTTAAGACACACCACTTTTATTTTGACCACTTTTTTTAGGGAGGTGCATAACACGCACCAACAAGATTGTAACACGTGTCATTATTTTTATTTTTCAAAAAAGAATATACTTAAAAGTACAATTCTACCCCTAACTACCAAAAAATTTCCAATTACTCCATCTTCTTCATCTTCCCATGCTACCACGAACCATGGGTGATGGTATCACCACCATCAAGACCTTCAAAAACACTAATTTTTTCAGCAATCCACCTCTATCCTAAATACAAAGTTCATCTCTCCCCACTTGTCAAAACTGCAATCAAGACCCATTAAACCACCAGAAAATGTTAAGAACAAAAACTCATAAAAACATGGAGAAAATAACCAAGAAATCCATACAATTCATAGTGAAACAACGAGGCCATATGATAGAGCAATAAACAAACACACAACCCCAATTTCTGTAAAAAGAGAACCTTTACCACAATGATGCTAAAATCACAATTCAAGATTTAAGCTAATTACCAAAATCACAAACAAAATCAATAAAATCAATGTTCAATTTCTGCCCACCCTGATTACGATTCAAATTTAACTAATAAAGCCCCTGTTTAGCTTCTGATTTAAGAAGAATTTAGTGGAGAGTAGTGGTGACAACGGAGTCACAGGTGTAGAATGTAGCTATGAAGTAGCTATTGGGAAGAAACGAAAATGAAGAAAATTTGGGTACAAGACTAATGAAGGTACAGAAGAAGGAAAAAGGATCTAAGGAAGAGGAATACATGGGGGTGGGGGAGGCCAACGGGGGACGGCGGTGTTGAGGTGGGGGACTGTAACACTCCTCAAATCTATAGAAGTTTAAGCACTCGCTAACTATAGAATTAAATTTTTTTTTTAATCTTAAATTATACTTCTATTACGGATTTAAACTCTTGTGATTGATTTTTGAGTTACTTCTCTATTTATAAAGAATTGGATATACAATTAGGGGAATATTAATAATTTTAATATTATTAATTATTAAAAGTGGATATCATTAATTATTAGTTAAGTGAAAACAAAACAAAACAAATAAATAAAAGCAATAAAACAAAAATAAGGGGGGCAAGCCTAAAAGCCCATAAGGGTTGTTGTAACCAAAAAGGATTGAAAATCCTTATACGAGAACAAGCATTCTATTCATTCTCACGAACAGAGAACTACGGGCAGCTTACTCACGCAGGCAACAGGAAGTTCTAGGTTTCTTTATAAATAACTAATTCTTGTACTCAGGTATATAAAAAAATTTATTCTCAATTATCGTACAGTATAAGAATTGGATAGTTAATTACCTTCTTTCTCTGTATCAACAGTAAATTCCATGTTTAGGCGTGAAACTTTGAAATTAATTCAAATGCACTGGTCATTGTAGAATCAATTATTTGACGGGTATAAATTGGACTGGGGCCTACGTATTGACTCAAGGAGTTTTGAGGTGAGTTGATATAACCCGTTACTAAAGTGGTTTAACTCACAAAAGCACGCATACAAGGTATTTGATGAATTAATTAAAAGAGTTAATATGTACTTAATTGGAGCGAGTGAGTACCTATTGGCTTAGAATTGTTCTAGTTAAAGTTTAGATGATTTATTCTAATATATTAGCAAACACATAAGTTTATCACAGAGAAAGAGAAACAGAAGAATTACTAGTCAACGTTGTAACTCGAAGGACCAGAAAGCAGGCCAATTTCATTTTTAATTTAACTTCCGTAACAACAAAATGAGTTATCATGTGAAAAAGGAACCGTATACACCAAAAGATTCTATGATACTTGGTTACTCCAATGAACATGCATGTCCTATAGATAAATACCATGTCTTTAGCGTATTTTCTTGTAATTCAAAACAAATGAATGAATGCAATTGAATGACAGTACTTCTTGCAACATCTATCAAGAAACTAATATAAATATTACGAAGACCAGAAATTCCCAAAAGCTACTACTTTGATTCATTCTTTGAAGGTGTAGAGCTGTTAAGTTGCTGTTGTGTATGCTGTAGAGGCTGTAAATTTTTAGATTTTTGTGTTATTCTTATATGTCATTTTCATGTTGAAAATTTATGAAGAAGCAAGAATCTTTAGAAATATTTTTGAATGTTTATTTCTTTCTTATACCATGCTTTACATTTAAGGATGCCAGCATGAGTATGTATAGGATGTTCCAGAAAAGATTTAGACTTGAAAAGTCAAAAGAAGAAGTTTTAGAAAGAAAAGATTTTTGGGAGTATCCTTTATTCTGAGAAGGGGTCATCGTCCAGGCCGAGGGTCCTGACCAAGGCGTTGACTTCCTAAAACTACTTGTGCCAAAGTAGGGAGCACACGAGCCGAGGGTCTCATTGTTGAGAATTTACTTAGCCAGGCTAAGGTATGATACATGAGCGCTGAGAACCATGAAGCGAGTGGCACCTCGTGGATTGGGCATATTCGATCAGGTTGGGATCGAACCCTTGCCAATCACACGGTGACTAAGACAGAAATAGGTCAGGATAGTTGAAACTCCCAAAGTATAAAGTGATGTATTTTTTTTTTAAAGAAAAAGAAAAAAATTTCTTTTAGAATATTCATAAACTGCTATTATTTAATTATTTTAGAATTGTTCTTATAAGCTTTATGTTTTACATGCATTTAGAATCTTTGCTTGTAATGTATATGTTATTAAAGTTTCGTCCCATGTCGTTGAGACTCACTGAGTACAATGTATGGTACTGACGTTCTCTTTTGGGAATCTACGTTGGTCTGCGGTACAATGTAAGAACCGGTTTTGCAGGCGAGCAGGCTACAGGTTAAGACTTTCCTCACTTCCAGTGCTATTGGTGAGCTCCGCTTTTGTTCGCGGAGTACTCCTTAGAGTCATCTTTATTTAGCTATTTCTTTGTTCACTTAGAGAACTGACCAGGAAATCTCATGTCCTGAGCAGTGCGTCAGTTTATCAGTAGAGGCTTCATAGACACAGTCGGTGGGTTAAGATTCAGATGTTTTTGATAATAACTTAGCAGTATTTCGGCAGTTACTACGAATAAAGTTTTGGAGTTGATTTATTTTAAATATTTAAATTAATCAAAAATATTTATTTAAAGTATTGCCTTGTTGCATATAAAGTTTGAAGTTATAATAGATTTTATAAGCACAGATGGTTCGCTCGGTCATGTTTAGTGATCGGGTGCCGGTCACGGCTTGTTCAGAAAATGGGTCGTAACAAACTTGGTATTAGAGCCTCAGGTTTATGGAGTCCTAGGGGTCTATGAAGCCGTATTAGTAGAGTCTTGTTTATGGGTATGAAGCGCGTCATACTTATAAACAGGAGGCTACAAGCATTTAGGAAAAGTCTCATTTTTTTTCATACTTTAGATCGTGCAATTGAGCCTACCTCTAAGAAATTATTTAATGTATTCGTTTCTCCAAAACTCGCAGAAATGGCTCGTACTCGCAACTCTAACACCAACACTCAGGATGCTGCTCAAGAAACTATTGTTACTATTGTGGCTCAAGGTAGAACTAAGAAGGCTTCAACTCAGAAAAGAAAGGGTAAATCCACAAAGGGGGTTCAAGTACCCCGAGTTGAACATGAAGAAGGGGTGGAGCATGATGATCCAGTATCTCAGGATCCAGTGCCACCCCTAACAGCAGCTCCAGCTCAGATAGCTATATCTCTAGAGGTGGGTCAGATGTTTAATGTTGTCAACAGTGCTATGGAGGCCTTCATGGCCAACCAGAACGAGAGAAGAGATGAGATTCCACCTCAATCAAATAGACAGAACAATTCTGAGTCCTCAAGAGTGAATGAATTTTTAAAGTTGAGTCCTCCATTGTTCCATGGTTCTATAGCTGATGAAGATCCAATGTTGTGGCTGGAGGGTGTCAAGAAAGCCCTCCGAGCGATGAAGGCATTTGATGATGAAGCTGTGGAGCTGGCTGCTTACCAGCTTAGAGATGTGGTTGGCGCTTGGTTTGAGATGTGGGAAAAAGAAAGAAATGAAGATGATGGCCCGCCTACTTGGGAAGAATTTGAAGAGGCCTTCATGGCTAACTTTATCCCGAAAGAGGATAGGGAAGCTAAGGCTATAGAGTTCGAACAACTCAAGCAAGGGAATAAAAGTGTGCAAAAGTACTACATGGAATTCATAAGGTTGGCTAAGCATGCTCCTCACATGGTTAAGACAGAAAAAGCAAAGATTCGCAGGTTTGTTGGCGGTTTGGCTTACCACATTAAGGATACGACATCAGCTGCAGCGGTAGGAATAACAGCTTTCTCCTCTGTTG